AGGCATGCTCAATTTAATGAAAAGCGTAAAACATTTTACTTCAAATCAGTCATACTTGTGTAAAACGGGTTTAGTCCCGCCACCACTTCAAAAACAAATCAAAACATGCTTTTAAAACAGTACGGGCATTACCATAAATTTACTTACCTCACTTCACATAAAACCGAGCACTCAATTCACGCACTAACTGACAGAACGATCGGGAACCTAATCAAAACATCTCAGAATTAATACCGGACTATCACAAATTCAAGGTAAACTCATCATTAGGATCATTCCTAATCACAATGCTATTTCTATCACTTTCCACATGATCAAATATCTCCAAATCTGTTCTTATATCACAAACTAATCATTTAAATTCCCGTTAAATGTTGGCCCTCGGGGTGTGAACAGTGACCGGTGAACAGTAACCCGACGTGAACAGTAACTCCGACTTCCACAAATTGGCCAAAACACTAGCTAATCTCACGGGGTTTTCTCTCCAAAAATCACAGCAATTAACTAACACTCAATCACATAAATCTCACTTGAATTAATGCTTAATCATGGTCCTAAAGCTACCGGAATTATCCCCAATTTTCTAGCAATTAACGGACACACAAGGCAGCAAACTAAATGGACAATTTTAAGCTTAAAAGGGCTGTCAACATACCATAATTCTCCAGCTAAAACCGGAGCTGCAGTTTGGGGAAGGCCGGCGGCATGGAAGGAAGGAAACTCACGGCTTTAACCCAAAATTCAAGAAACCAAGAGCAATTAAGGTAAACCCAAGTTAAATCAAGGCTAAAAGGATGGATTAATGGCTGTTTCTTACCCAAAACCGGAGCAAATCACCCCCACAAAACAGGAGCAGCCGGCGGTGAGGAGCAGAGCATAGCAGATCCGGTTTTTCCAGCAGAGGGGGAGAGATTTCTGGGTTCTATATGGGTTCTAGAACAAGAAAGGAAGGGGAAAATACCAAGCTTCCTTACCAATTTTCCAAGGCATGGCTGGGTTCTCTTTCTTTTTTTCTTCGGGTGGCTGCAGCGGGAAGACAGAGCAGAACACGCGGGGAAGAAGAAGAAAAGAAAGAAAGAAAAAGGAGAAAAGAAAAGAAGTCATCCTTATCCAAAATCTACTCTTTTAAGCCCCTTGACTTTTGAAATATTCACTATTAAGCCCCAACATAATATTTCCTCTCATAAAAGTCCTTAACTTAATGCTAAATATCACAAAATTTCGGGGTATTACACTTAGAGAACTTGATTAATTTATTTATTTTTGTAAAAATAATATGTTCATATAAATTAATCTATTTCCATAAACTTGGATTTATATAAATTAGAAATGTCAAGCTTAATCTTCAAGTTAAAGTAGAAAACCCACAAGGAAAACACTTTCCTTATTTTTATTCCCTATTGCTGCACATCCCTAGTCGATATTGGACTAGAAATTCGGCTAGGGCTCACTTGCCTGATAAGCTGGCCAACCCTAGTTCAATATGGGCTAGGGTTTGGCCCATAAGTCTGACTTAAAAGCCACTTTGGATTTTTTCTTATTCTTAACATAGAACAAATCTAAACTTAAATTAATTAAATTAATTCTCTTTCTACCAATTTATTTTGAAATTTGATTAATTTATTTCTCTTATAAAAATAATATTTTTATGTAAATTATAAAAATATCAATCACATTAATGCACAAAGTGTGTGACCCTCTAAGTTTTTATCACAATGGCAGTGAGAAATACTTACAAACCAAGAATGATATCTAGCAACACATCATAGCCACCCAAAATGATAGAAAAGTCTATGGCTTAACAACAAACCTTCCTATAACCGATGTACTTGTATAATTCAATCTTTCCATCATTGATATCTCCATCAAGCAAGATGTATGCTATATGTCATCATCCTTAAATCTTGATAAATCTTTCTCTAATTTCTAAGATAGACATGCTTCTTGAATGAACCTTTCATTCTTGTCATGGCCATTGACTTTACAAGTAGTCTCCTCTTAATCAAAGGGCTGGACATATCTTCTTTCATAAACTCAAGAGGGACAATTCCTATCTTGACCCACCTATTATTTTCATGCGATTTATGATATATCCAATAATTGTATTAGTTGCAACCCCTCAAAATGGTTTTTTTTTTAACAATATCAAAGGACACGAGTTCTTATATAGAATAATGAAGATCTCAAATCAAATAATTACTTACACTCAAATTATAACTACGAAGCTACTAATGACACGTGCATGTAGAGTTCTCATAAAGGGTCAATCTAGTACACTTACTTTAAATCATCCACATGTGATACATGATTTCATGAGAAAAAGTCTTACCATAGGTACCTTTAGTCCTTTGGGAGTCTTGAAATAAGAACTATGGAAAAAGATTGTGATGGAAGTAAAAACACTCTTAGTATAAAATGTTTTCTTAAAAGAAAAACCTACTTTCAAATTAATTTAAAATTTTATAGAAAGAAAATCAATTACCTGTAAAGGAAAATTATTTTAACAAAAAATATCTTAAGAAAAATGTCAAAATACTCAAAGTTATAAAATAAGTTAGGCTACGCCCATTTTAATTAATTTAAATATTATATATATAAAAGTAATTTATACAAAAATTATATGAGAGCAAATGCTCTTCAAAAACTTTTCAAAATAACAAAAGCAAAATCATCATTTTGGTAACATATTGATCTGCCTTCACATTAAACGCCCTAACGTCCTAGCTTCTACATAAAATGAGCATATGAGACCTATACCAAAAGTTCTCAAGTTGGAGATTGCTTCTTCAATCAACAGATCTCAAATGGGAGGCAAATATCATGAGCTAAAAGCCTAATAAGTATGAAATTAAAGCTACAAACTTGGGTCTTCAACCCCTAAACCTATACACACAAAGGCATGATAGACAATTGAGCCAAACCATATAATATTATAAATCTTAGTAATTAAATAATAATTCAGTATTATAGAACAATTCTTAGACAACTGAGCATGTCAAGAAATAGCCAATGACATTTAATTTAAACTCAAGTCATAAAATCATATGCTCACAAATGAAATGTCACAAGCAAAATGCATAAAATAAAATCACACAATGTTATAGAGTCCATTGATGTGTACTAGCAACGCTTGTATTGGAGCTAATCACGACACTCACCCTATTGTGCAAAGGTCCATTAAATACCCCGAAGGGTCCATTGAATACCCCACCTTTAAGTTTAGGTCCACTTACTCCATAACCACAAACACATACGCATGTCAAACAAATACAAAACTCATCCAAAATAATATAAAAATATTATTTCACATAATCAGTTACATTTCTAAAGTAATCCACTTTAAAATCCCATGCCTAACTATAGATTTCACTTACAAGAGTTGAAATTAATTTCTTCCTTAAACATTTGTAATTAATGCATGATCATATAATTAAGGAATATTATTTCCCATCCAAAGTCATGGACAGCACTCTAAATTTCAAATAAACATATGGAATTATTTTGACATATTAATTAATAAAAAAATCATCACACAAAGCAAGCACGTAGAGTCTATAGCAATAATAGAAATTATAGACGATAGATCTTCACACTAAAACCAATTATGAAATTAAAACAAATTTCTAAATTATGTCCCAAGATCGGTGCATACACCCAAAACCCAAATATTTCTAAATAAAATTTTAGTACCCCAAAAGTCCCTTAAACAAAGGTTCTAGAGTCAAATTTTACTAAGTTAAACTAATTTTTAGTATATTATAGTAAATCTATAATCTACCAAAAAACTCTAACCCAAATTTATAACTAAAACTCATACTTACCTATGGAAATCAAAGTACCAAACTGAAACAAACAACAGAATTGGAAAGGGATTTCAACTTGACGATGTGTCCCCATATAGCTTTAGCATAACTGTCCTCCCAAATGGAAAAAGAAAGATGGATGCACGATTAACTAGAAGAAGAAGGAAAGTTGCAAAGGAATGGTTCTAAAGACTTTTTATTAAGTGCAAGCAAATAGTTTTACTCGGTAGATATAGTGCCACTTGGCACAAAAATTGGAGTAATTGAGTTAAACATCCTTCAACTCCTTCTAAGTTTCATTTACAACCCCCAAACTCTAAATCTAATCAATCTAATCCCCAAAACTTGAAAATAAAGGACTCTAATTTCTAATCTATTCACTAAAGTATATGGGGCATTACATCTTCCCCACCTTGAAAGATTTGCTCCACCAAATCATTAATTTTACTAGAATAGATGTGGATATTGCTCCCTCATTTGATTTTCAAGCTCCCATGCAACTTTATTTTCGTTATGATGCCGTAACAACACTTTCACCAAGGCACAGTCTTGTTTCTCTAAACTTTTTCTTCCCTATCCAAAATCTGCACCAGCTGTTCCATGTAACTCAAATCTTCCTTTAACTTTAATGACTCATGATTAATGAGATGTGAAGGATCCGACTCATATTTCCTTAAAACGGACGCATGACACACATTGTGCTCATTTGACAACTCTAGAGGCAATGCAATTCTATAAGCCACTTCACCTATTATTTTAAGAACCTCAAATGGGCCAATATACCTCGGACTAAGCTTTCCTTCTAAACCAAATTTGTACACTCTCATAATTGGTGACACCTTCAAAAAGACATTATCTCCAACTTCAAATTCCAATGGTCTTTCTCTATTATCTGCATAGCTCTTTTGTCTATCTTGAGCCACTTTAAGCCTCTATTGAATTGATTTCACTTTTTCTGTTGTTTTCTACACAAAATCAAGCCCCATTAATCATCCCTAACCAACTTCCACCCAACAAGTTGGATTTCTACATCTCCTACCATAAAGAGCTTCATAAGGTGCCATTTTAATACTAAAATGATAGCTATTATTTTAAGCAAACTCTGCCAATGGAAGATGATCATCCTAGGGAAATCTAATGCATAAGCTCTTCACATTGTTGTACCTATGATTTTGATGATTACAAAATACATTTGAGTGACTAATTGGTTTATTTAAGTGAGTAGTTAAGTTGCTAAAAGATTGCAAGTAAACTTGGACTGTACTAAAAATAGACCAAAAAGATTGAAAATGTGCAGGGAGCCGGCTGTTAAAAGCTGCAACTGGCTCTGGTGAAATGGAAGTGTAGAGAGCCGGCTCTGGAAGTTGCAGTCGGCTCTATGGGTAAAGACTTAAAGGTCCGTTGTTTGGTGCGCATGGAGAAAAGACGCAAAGCCGGCTCTAACTTTGGAGCCGGCTGTAAGGCCGCATTTAATGCACAACGATCGACTTATTTGAAGAATAATTAATATTTTTTAGGTTAAACTCCTATTTTGATCCCTGAACTATTGTACGGACCCTCGATTTGGTCCCTGAACTAAAGAAAACCCTAATTTGGTCCTTGAACTATTGTACGGACCCTTGAGTTTGTCCCTAAACTATTGTACGGACCCTCGAGTTAGCCCTTAAACTATTATACGAATCCCCAATTGGGTCCTTATTGTTTACCAATTTAACCCCAACTTGGTCCTTCTGTTAAATAATAGCTCATGGACCAAATTGGGGCGAAATTGTAAACAGTAAAGACCAAATTGGAGGTCCGTACAATAGTTCAAGGACCAACTTAGGCCAAATTATAAACAGTGGGGACCAAATCGGGGGTCCGTACAATAGTTTAGGGACCAAATCAGGGATTTCTTTAGTTTAAGGACTAAATCGGGGGTTTGTACAATAGTTCAGGGACCAAAATGGGGATTTAACCTATTTTTTAAAGTCGAAATACCAAAGCCGGCTCTAGGTTTTTTGCAGCCGGCTGTGGAAGAAAACAAAATGTGCAGCAAACCCGCAAAGCCGGCTTTGCATTTTAGAGCCGGCTCTATGGAGAAAACAAAATGTGTAGAATCCCATAAAGCCGACTACAGAAATGGTGAGCCTGCTGTACAGAGCCGATTCTAGGAATCTAAGCCGGCTCTCCTAACAATCCTGCAACTCGAGCTTTGCGTCCTGTAGAGCATTTAATGACCCCCAACAGCTAGAAACAACTATTTTCGAGTAAGGGTCTATAAATATGGTTGATAACAGATCTGAAAAAGTTTGGAGAACATTCCATTGAATATATTTACCTACCTACTTGAGCTTTAACTTGAGTTTTTGATCTTTGAGTGATCATTGCTTGTAATCCTCTTCTTGTTCTATTAGTGTATGTTCTTGGGGTGTGATTATTCCTTCAAGAGTGATCTATTGAGAGGATTTGTGGGGTTTACATTGTAAAGGGGTGAGGTTTGAGAGAAATACTCATCTTCTTGTAAAAGGATTGAGTGGCTCATTTAAGCCACCCTTATAGCCACCCTTGTCTTTCTTAGTGAAGAGTGTGGAGAAAATCCTTGGTGAGTGAAGCCAAGGTAGAGGACTAGGCTCCAAGTGGTTGGACCGAACCTCTATAAATTCATTGTGCAAGCTCTTCTTTTTTACTCTTTTTAACTTTGGTTTTGTGGTTGAAAAAAAAGGGGAGAATTTTTGGAACTCCAATTCACCCCCCTCTTAGAGTACATTGAGTCAACAATTGGTATCAGAGCAAGGGCTCTAATTTGAAGGTTTAACCACCTAGGAGTTGATCGGGAATGGCTCAATTTCTATCTTCTCAACCACTTGAAGGTTTGTTTACCACTAAGCCTCCTTTCTTTGATGGTACTAATTATAATTATTGGAAGAATAGGATGAAGGTCTTCATGCTTGCAAATGTGCCCAAGGCATGGGTTGTGACTATGAAAGGTCCATATGTACCGATGAAAATTGTTGGAGAAAGAGAGGTGCCGAAGGAAGAGATTGATTGGAATGATGAAGACTTGGAGAAGATCATGATCAACAACAAAGCAATTAGTATGCTTCAATGTGCTCTCAATCCAACGGAATATCATAGTCTCTGAGTGTGATACGGCTAAGGAGATGTGGGACATGCTAGAAGTCACACATGAAGGAACAAGCCAAGTAAAGGTGTCAAAAATCAATAGACTCATTTACATGTATGAGCTTTTCAAGATGAAACCGGAGGAGAGCATTCAAGATATGTATACAAGATTGAATGATATAGTCACCAATCTCAAGGCTCTTGGTAAAGTCTATCCTCCTTAAGAAGTGGTGAGAAAGGTTCTTAGAAGCTTGCCTAAGAGTTGGGAAGCCAAGAAGACGGCAATTGAAGAATCTAAGGATCTCAACACTCTCAAGCTTGAAGATCTCATTGGTAAATTGATGACATATGAGACAGAAGTTCAAGGTGATGGTGGAGTTGAAATAGTTGAGAAGAAGAAGAAAGATGTTGCATTCAAGGTTAGCAACCAAAAGGAAAAGAGTGAAGATGATGCTAGTGATGGTGAAAACTTCTCCTACTTAATCTCTAGAGAAGTAAGGAGATTTATGAAGAAGAACATCAAGAGCAAGCTTGCAAGAAGAGATGAAGGAGAATCCACCAAAAAGAGTGTGAAATGCTATGAGTGCAACAAGATGGGGCACTATAGAAATAAATGCCCCAAATTGAAAAAAGGTGAGAAGAAAGACAAGAAGAGCATGAAGAAGAAAGCATTTGCCGCCACTTGGAGCAATGATGAGACTAGCTCAACGGAAAGTGAAAGCTCCTTGGAGAAAGGTGTTGCAAATCTTTGCTTTATGGCTCAAGAGGATAGCAACAATGATGAGGAGGTAAACTCTAACTTTTCTAGTTCAATTAATGAAAGTTCCTTTGAGTATTCTTATGATGATTTATACAAAGTTCTTGATTGCTATATGAATGATATTAAGAGACTAGGGAATGAGAATCTTACTCTTACTAAAACTATTTCATTACTTAAAAATGAGATTGAATCTCTTTCAAAACAAAATGAAGTTTTAGTTAAAGAAAATGCTTCTTTAAATGGTGAGATTGCTTCTTTAAAGAATGAGGAAGTTAATGATGCTTTGGAAAAGGAAAATGAGGATTTAAAGAAGGAAAATGAGAATTTAAGGAAGGAAAATGAGGATGTAAGGAAGAAAAATGAGGATTTAAAGAGAAAAACTTGTGATCTTAAGAATGTGATTTCCAAATTTACTTTGAGTAAAGAAAAATTTGATTCTATCTTAAAATCTCAAAGAAGTGTTTATGACAAAGGGGGCATTGGATTTGATTATTCTAAAAAGCAAAAGACTTTTAAGACTTCCTTTGTAAGAGCAAGTCAATCCTCTCATCCTAAAGTTACTTGCTATTGTTGTGGTGCAAATGGACACTTTGCTTATGCTTGCCCTTTAAAACGATTAATAGCTCAAGGTAAAGTGAAACAAATATGGGTTCCAAAAGGAACCATAAGAACTAACCCCCAAGGACCCAAACAAGTTTGGGTACCTAAGATCAAAAATTGATTTTTGTTGTGTAGGTGTGCCTTGTGAGCAAAATGAAGAGCAAATGGTATCTAGATAGTGGATGCTCAAGGCACATGATGGGTGATCCTTCACAATTCTCCTCACTCATGCCCTTGGATGGTTGAACCATGACCTTTGGTGACAATGGGAAAGGAATTGTGAAAGGAATTGGTAAAATTGGTAACAAATCTATTTCTTTTGATGATGTTTGGTATGTGGATGGATTGAAGCATAACTTGCTTAGTATTAGTCAATTATGTGGTCGCATGCTTAATGTTGTATTTTTCAAGTCTCATTGCAAGATTATTGGTTCTAGAAATGATCAAGTGTTGTTTGTTGGCAAGAGACTTAAAAATGTGTATGTGATTGATTTGCATGACATTGATGCTAATATTTGTCTTGCTTCTATATCTCATGATGATACTTGGTTGTGGCATAGAAGATTAGGACGTGCTAGCATGAGTGTTATCTCTAAGTTGTTAAAGCATGATCTTGTTGATGGCTTGCCTAAGGTGAATGTAAATATTGATAATGTGTGTGATGCATGCATGAAGGGTAAGCAAATTAGAGTTTCCTTTAAGACTAAGAAGTGCATCTCTACAAATAGACCTCTTGATGGGAATCAAGATGATAGCATATCTACTACGTCATGTGATCCATTACACACCCAAGGAGGTCCAGTCATGTGAGTTAGAGCTAAGAAGATGTGTGAAGTTTTAAATGGCCTTATTGAGCAGATCTGGGTTGAAAACAACATACAACAAGCAAATCGAAGCTTGGATGATTATCAAGGCATGGTAAACATCATTCAAGTTCAAGAGAAGCTTAGTTGAGGTCATTTGCACGGAATTACACAGTTTGCATCAAAATCGCACAGTTCTGCCGCAATTTGTAGCAAACTGATATTTTGTGTTATTTTAAGTTATTTTTAGTGATTTTCACGTTTTTTGTATTATTTTTGGGCTGAACATTCGCTTATTTGAAGCCCAATTTGTGGTTATAAGGTTTAGGACTTAGGGTGTTAATTTCCTATTCTGATTAGGATTTTTTTTCTCTATTTAAAAGGCTTGTAACCCTAATGGGGAGGGAGGCTATTGAATCTGAGATTTTGAGAGACTTTTCTCTTTGGTTCGTTTCAGAACTTTA